TACTACCACTCCTGCTGCTGCTACTACTACATACTGCTGCTGCTGCTACTACCACTACTACTACTACTACTACTACTACTACTACTACTAATTACAAAAACAACAACAGCAACTACATCTACTACTACTACTATCACTACTACTACTACTACGACGACGACTTCTACCACTACGACGACTACTACTACTACCACTACTACTACTACTACTACTACCACTCCTGCTGCTGCTACTACTACATACTGCTGCTGCTGCTGCTACTACCACTACCACTACCACTACTACTACTACTACTACTACTACTACTACTACTACTACTACTACTACTAATTACAACAACAACAGCAACTACATCTACTACTACTACTACTACTACTACTACTACTACTACTACTAGTACGACGACTTCTACCACTACGACAACTACTACTACTACCACTACTACTACTACTACTACTTCTACTACTACTACTACTACTACTACCACTACCACTACCACTACCACTACCACTACCACCACTACCACTACCACCACTACCACCGCTACCACTACCACCGCTACCGCTACTGCTTCCGCTACTGCTACCGCTACTCCTTTGGGGGGTGGCTCTGTCACAAAACTCTACCCCGCGAAAAGGGCGAAAGTTTGGCGAAAGTTCAGCTCAAGATTGGCGAAAGTTCACCCTGCCACACCTGACCCCCAGCCCATTATGAGTAAGTCTGAGCAACCGGCTGCAACAGTGATTCTTGCAACTTTTGATTCTTGCAGACACCCAGGAGAAACAAAAGAGACGTACAGGGTGTCAACAGTTAAGTAGAAGACACATGCTGACAAACAGTGAAGTCGTTATTTCGTATCTGCCAGTAAAGAAGAAGCCATTGACATGAAAAAACTGATATCCATCATGCAACATACATGGCAAACAAAAATACAACATACTTCGGCAAAAGATAAATCGCAGGAAGGCGAAAGTTTGGCTAAAGTAATTCCCCACCTGTCAGGCGAGGGTTGTTAGATTTTAAGTCAGCCCCATCTCCTCCTTCTCCTTCTCCTTCTCATTCTCCTCCGCCTCCTCCGCCGGACCTCAACCACGACCATCCACGCCCAGTGGACCTCAACCACGACCATCCACGTCCAGTGTTCCCTGCCGGACCTCAACCAGGACCATCCACGCCCTGCCGGACCTCAACCACGACCATCCACGCCCAGTGTTCCCTGCCGGACCACAAACACACAACCACAACCACAACACAGCACACAACCACAAACACAACACACAACCACAGCACACAACCCGAGGACCCACAAGCAAAATCGAGGACTACAATACTCACGACCATGGCAACATGCTCCTCACTGTGGCATCAAAGCAAATGATTGAAATGTCATGGTGGGGATCACTCGAAGTAAAGTAGTTTTTTTAGCTAAGAATGACGGATCCCAGATAAAGGAATTTAGATCAACACCCATATACATAATGAATATATAAAGCAGATACTGCCTGGGTTCTATTTTTTCAGGGCCGGTCCTGGCCTCCCACGGCCCGGTCGACCGTCGTTTTTCACGAGCGACGCCTGTTGGAGTCAGAGGAGCATCATACGTGCCTGGCATGCCTGGAGTGGGAGGAAACCGGTTCCCATCATATTCCCATCGGTTCCTTCTCATGGGATGGGATTTACAACATGAAAGATGATGAACACTGGGCGTTCAATATGTTTTTGATTTGGTAAAAACGTGGGACACCTGTCACTGTTGTTTGAAGGTGAAGATGTTGTTTCCATTTTGAATGGTGAACCGGACACCTGGGCACATCAAATATCGTGCCACCCAAGAATGTCATCCTCGCATGTCCGTTTCTGCCGGCGGATGCCGCATCCACTCAAAACTTAGACAAAAATAACAAAAATGATAATGTAACCCTTCACATTGGGTGCGAAAGTCTCGGGCGGAAAAGCTCGGGGAGTCATAGGGGGGTCTCCGGTTCTGAGACGTGACGATCAAAGTGTTGTTTGGTGCCTAAAGTGGTCGGATGTTGAAGACCTTTCATTTGCGCAGATGCCAGTAAGTCCTATTCAAAAAAACCTTGAGATCGAAGTGCGAACCCTGGAGTAAGAAAAACCTTGGCGTTGACTTGCGTTGTTTGTTGGACTGTTCAATTATCCTGGTTGCACAGCAAATTTGTCGGTTACCATGCGCTGAGGGCCTGCATGTGGAGACATTTGCAAGATAAACGATTGAGAACGTTAGATAGTCCAGAAAGATGGACAAACTCACCGTGCCAGAAGTTCGATTTCCAACTTCACCTGTTTTGAGGCCAGCTAGTAGCGTCCGATCAGGAGCCCCTAGTAGCGTCCTTGCTCCTATAGTAGTAAGGCCAGGAGCGCCTAGTAGCTTCTGGTTCCTAGTAGCGATGCCAATAGAAATATTTGCCTGCAGTACAACGATCCTGAGCTTTTCACCCTTCAGCATGGCCATTCCGATGTAGGCCGTGGGCGGCCCTTCCACGGCCCGTTGTGCCACGATCCTCCTCCCCTTCCACGATGGCTCAGGTGTCCGGTTTGGGCAGAACATAGTTGTGTACACCTTGGTCAGTGACGGACTGAGAGACTTTGATCGTCCCATGGCGCTGCGGCTGTTCTGTACCTTCATCGACGTTCAAGACGTCGCCGTCCCAGACTCCGCCCGAACGTCCAGGCGGGGCCGAAGCGACCAGGGCAGCGAAAAAAGGAGATGGAGATGTAGCAGTGTTCATCTCGGCGAACTGATATGATGACATTTTACAGGAAATCATGTTAACTCTATGACTATAGTTAATTCTAAGGAAAACATGTCTTGATTCGAGGACATCAAAGCTACTGCTCAGGAGTCTACCATGCCCACGCAGGAGTGCAAACGCATCATTCAAGGGTGAGTCAGAGCAGCCTGGAAGATGAGTCGAGGGAGATGCCGATTCGGGTGCGAATCGGAGGGGTGTCAGAACAGTCCCCATATCCATCTTCTATACCGGATTCTTCCAAGTGAGCTGTTCACCCTCTAATTTGAGGTCACTTAGACCTGTACAGGCCACTTTTGGGGACTCCAACAAGGTCACTTTGAAGAAGCTGGTAGATATCATCTACTCACCTAGGGTCACTCTAAGCCACTCCTTTGCAACTTCTGGTGTGTGTTTGATTGTTTGTTCCCGATGGGTGTGTTTGTTTGTTTCTCTGTTTCATCAAACAAGTTTGGTTCAACAGTTCGAAGCTGCAGCGTATACTCACGTTCACTACACGAATCTATCACGTAGAATCGCACGTTGCATTCTGGAGTTGGGTGTTCAGAGGGCTTCACCCAGGGTCCCGGCTGTCAGGTATGTGGCAACGTTGCTTGAAAGGTCTGCGACCAAATTCTGTGGATTGTCGGAGGTCAAAGATGCGGAGGGTGAGAAGGCTGGGGGGTTCAATCAGCAACGCATGGAGAATCCATACCCGACCTGTGCCAGCTTGCTTTGACCTTCAAGAATCTATAAGCTATGATGATAGCTTATAGATTCTTGAAGGTCAAAGCAAGCTGGCACAGGTCGGGTATATGGCTATAGCAAAAGATTGCTCGACCTCTTTGGTGCGACGGTCATCTCTCCGGCCGTGATGGCCAGGTGGAGACGCTCACGGTGGATCCACCCGAAGACACTCACGAACATGTGAATGTGGGCTCGGTTGGCCATCCGATGATGTGCCGCCGGCCTTGTGCTCGCTTCGTGAAGGGCGAGTGTACCTCGGGTGCCGATTGCAACTATTGTCACCTGCAGCATGAAGGTGCGATCATGTCGCTCGATAAGCGCCAGCGGAAGCAAATTCAGAACATGGCCTCTAGGCGTGATCTGGAGATTCTATGTAGGTGATGTCTGTTCTTTTCAACTGAGTTTCAGAAGGGTCACCTTCCAATTAGTTCATGAACAGGTTTTTGGGGTGAGGATACGACTCAAACAGCTTGGCAACCCTGGCCACTGGTCGCGCTTATACCAAATCTACCACCGCATACCACCGTGCACTGGGCACTGCCCGACTTCTGCTTTCGACCCGAGTGGATATTCAGTCAGTCCACTCAAAAAACACCGACGAAGCCCACGGTCGTGCAGCGTCCACGCCGAAGGCTGCACGCTTTCGGCTCCGAGGATCTGGCCGATCTCGTGGCCATGCTCCTCCCGCCGCTCCGCGCAGCCCTGGCCGAGCTGCCCACCCGCCCAGCAGGACGCCTGTTGGCGGCTGTGCAGGCCCAGGCGGCAGCACAGGCTCCGGTACCCGACTGCCGCGCGGCGAGGGTGTGTAGACTTTTGGGGGGGTGGCCTGGATTGGTCTGGTGTTTGACTTTGGGCAACTCTTGGGGGTATCGTAGAAGGCAATCCATGTCGATTTGACCTTGGCCTGGCAAAGATGTTTGTTGATCTGGCTTGTTGCAAGAGCTCTGAAGCGGCCAAGTACATCGATTGCGTGGGCTTAGCGGTAAGAAGCACTTGGTGCACGGCTGAGGCTTGCTGGAGCGAAGATTGCGCAGAATGTCGTTGCTGCTTGACACAAGACGCGCGTGTCAAACTGTGAGGGTCTATATGTTGACTCGGAGATTCCTTTAGATTCTGAGATGTATATATTACAGTAATCTCAATCATTACTATATACTATAATATAAGTAATATACAACTTGAATTATGCAACCGAGTGAAGTGAAATTGGGTCCGGTGCAGTCCCCTCAGGCCAGCTCTCCTGTCTTGCATCCCCGCACAACATGGCGACTTTCGTGCCGTGCTGCAAGAACACATCGACGAGATTCGTCGTGAGATGCCAGTCACTGTCAGCCAGACCGTCCGATGTGGAACGTTCTGAAGTTATTTGTTTTTTTTTCCCGTGAAACGGGTTGTGGAAACCACCAACATGCATATGCTGCTCGTTGGAACCGTTTTATGTGAATGTCTTTAACGACAGCTCGAGGGTGGAAGCCATCCGAGACGTGTGGAGCGCCTTCGACGCGCACCCCCAGAGCGTTGAAGATCGTTGAAGTCGCCAGGCGTCCTGCCTGACTCCAGGCGTCTATTGGACTCTGATTTCCATGCGAACGGGAACCGACTTTGCGGCAACAGATGTTTTTTGCGAGTGGAAGGGAGAATGTTTTGGCATGTTTTGGCAGTCATGTGCAAAAAGGAGCGCATGTTGTTGGAAGTTGGGAATCGAGTTCGGCATGAGGCCTGCATCAATGCCGTGTTTGAAGTCATGTGGTCACCGTGGATCGAAATGTCGTTCTGCTGCTCTGGCTTCAAGCAAGCGAGACGCAATTTAAGTGACCGCTACAAGACCAAGCATTTGCTGTGATAATGCACATACTGCTGCTGAGAGCTGAGCTATGTGCCAGTGACGGACCTGCAGCGTTTGTGACAAAAATTGCCAGCTACAGTATAGCTTTTGATTCCTTCTCACATAGGTTTGAACAATTGTTCGGAATCGTTCGTTTATTTATTTAGTGCTTGAGTCTCTGCGCAGGAAGGGACCGGTCCGGATTGAGGCTTATACTCACAGCCTACCAAGTGCGTAAATAGCAGGGTTCCAAGAGGGAGCGGGGAGGATTGAGCCCCAGGCCAAATCCTGGGCAATGCCTTTCCCGGGACAAACATCTTGACGGTCCGAAACAAGTAAAGCATGTGTGCTAATTTTTGGGCAGATGTTCGGCAGATTTCGTGTTTTCGACACACCGACATCGGCCAGCGCTTACCAAAGTCTTCAGGAAACCCCGGCTCCGCTCCACTCACGACTCATCGTCCTGGACTGGGGTCGGCCAACGACCACAACAAAAATGAAAACGCGGCGAGCCGCGAGCCTATAATAAGCCACCTTCCCATAGACAATGGCCCACACATGTAGATTATTTTCTAATTACTAGAGGTGCTAGCTGTGCTATGGCTTTGTGCTTGATAGTTCCACACAGTACAAATTGCACGCAGTGCACACGAATGTAATTATACTTTATACCAGTTAGTCAAAGCACTGTGAAGCCGTACAGAAGCAAACGGTAAGGCTTTAAAGTGATATGTGCCATCCACAACCCTGCGAACATCACCATGTCAAGCAAGAGAGGAGGGTGCTATGGGTTCGACAGTTCAGTTCTCGCTGAGGGAAGCTGGCTTCCCAAACTTCGCCAAAGCTGAGAAATTGTATGGGTGGACGTCTTGGGGGTGCATGTTCAATCCTAATCCTCAACAATCCGTGGGCCTGGCATATTTAGCTACATTGGAGTGGCTTTACGATGTTTTAAGTGTCGGTGTAGGTGAATCTGTCATACGATGTTTTACATTTTAAGGGTCACTGGTAAATACGTCTTAATTACTTAAATTACATATTCATGAACTGCCGGGGAATTGTAATACTTGTTTCTTCCGAAACGGTGTGGGTTGGTTTCTCTTTGGGTTTTGGGGACCTTGTTACACTGTTTGGCTCGAGAACACTGGGTGATCAAGCAGCATGACACTGAAAAAATGCTGTAAAGGGCGCAACGTGCACTATTCAGTCACAAATCCACCAAGATCACTGATCTCGACATGCCGTTCACAACTGGAAAGGATCCACTTGTAATTGTTCCTTGTCACACAGTTGCAGTGCACCGCACTCAAGCTGCTGATCAAAAAGGGCGCAGTTCCCCAAACACACCGACAAGCGCCACAAGACGGATCGACTGTGGCCAGATGCTGTAGTTCAACACGTATGCAGCCGCAGCGGGTCCTCATTTCTTATCAGACATCTTCTGATATTTATATAGAATCCTTTGGACCATGAAGTCTTCAGCTTTAGCCCTGGGACTTTGTGGTGTTCTTGTGCCATGACGGGCGCAAGAGGGCTTCACCCCATGGCAATCTCTTTCGCGGCCAGAAGGGAATGGGGAGGGTTAGAGGCCTTGAGATGCCTTGACGGAGCATTATATACTTTTTGACCACACAGGGTCATATGCTTCGTTGGACATATTAATGAGACTTCCTTGATCTTGTTTGTGGAGTTTGGCTCGTTTTTGTGTGTCCGAAAAAAACAAACCACGCACATGTTTGCGTGGAAAAAGAGACCACGCCCCAAAACATGCCTGAAATCACCCGTGGTGTGTGTGTGTGTGTTTTTACCTCCAGGTCTCCGAAGATTCGATGAGAAAGCAAGGTCTCCCAAGCAAGGTCTCGTCCGTTGAAGGATTCTCGGACGGACCTTTTCAATTTCTCATCCCCACACGATTTAGGATGAAATTTTGTTGGGCACCATCTGGCATGGATGCTGGCAGGTATTCCCGGTCTATTCTTGCAAATTCTGCCCGTTTTCCACGTCCAGAAGCAGCTCCAGAGAGTTGGGTTTGACCACGGCTCACCCGACAACTTGGGTGATTCATGGTGGTTCATGAACTTTGTTTGTGACTGCAAGTAGCTTCTCCTAGCAATCCTTGCAGGTGACTTCGCGCCCATGAGCCTGGGGGTCCCAGAAAGCCTGGGGGTGGTTTTGGGTTCAAAGTCTTCGGACGGCTCCGTCGATGGTTTGGTGTCCGGAACGAGCATCGGCTCTGAGAATGTGTGACTTCGCGCTGAGAGTGTGTAGGATTGGATGCCTTATTGCCTTAGAAAAGCGACCAGCAGTTGCCAGCGGTCTTAAGGGTCCACTCTCCGATCGATGTTGGACTGCAGGGGGAATCCGGGAGAACACTGTCAAAGAACCTGGTTTCTCCTAAGCTCAACACCAGTTTTTGAAGAACACGGTCAGATTCCTTGACTTTTTCCGGGGGCAACATCTCCCGAATCTTCCAGTCAGGAACCTCCTTCAGCCGAGGCCCAGTTCCAGGCTCCGCCCGAGACCTCCACCATGAAGACTACGACAGCTTGGGCAGGGGCGCACGGAAGAGAACGCATGGCAACAGGATCTCAATACCGTTCGCGTTTGGGATGATCCGTGGGTTCCACCAGCAGGTTTTGGTGAAGTGATTTCACATGATTTCACTTAGCCTTTATGAAGTAAATGGCATGTCCGCTCAACTGCAAAAGGTTCTACAAGAAATGTGTGTGTGTGGCGCGCGTCCCGGAGGGTTTGTTTTGAGTGTTTGTTCTTGTTCTATCCGAGTGACAACCTTTAAACGTTTGTGTAACATTGTTTCATTCATATTAATATTAGTTTCACAAGAATACAGCGTGCCTTTTCTTTGTTCAATGAGCGCGTTTGAGTAGTCTACCATGTTCTACTCGTATTATCATTATCATGTTTGGGTCATCCATCCTATTGTGGCCGTACGACCAAAACACCCGACAACAAAGCATCAATCAAGAAAGAACCAAATATGATAAATTATCAATGCTTTATTGACAAAACAATGATGAGGACCATACCTGCCTCTCAAAAGTATTGCTCAAACCGGCGTGTTCAATCGAAAGCGCGCTTCTTTAAATGTCTACTGCTTTATAGTTGTTCCACTCAGGGGGTGCGAACACACAGTGACCGCATGCGGCGCAAGATACAGCGCCCAAACACCCAGCACAGCATAGAGGAAAAGCGGCACAAACAACGCACTTTCTCATTGCACACCTTTGAGGCATTGGCTGAGTGAAACTAGATTTGATTTCTTTGAAACGATGCTTCGACATGTTTCGGCTAAGCCAGCATAAAGAAACTATTTGCGAAAGGACAGCACAGTCAAGTGAAGATAAACATGGTGATGCAGGTATGGCCATAAGACCGTATATCCAAAAAAGTCCGGGCCGAATTGTTTCATGGTGGCACCAAGCAGTTCAACACAAGCATCATGAACAATTCCAAAATCACCAAGATCTTTCTCCAACCGAACATGAACCACTCATTTCTGATTCATGCAGTGATGGTTTAAGCAGTTTTATAGCCTCCTCATGCCAGGGATTTGATTTTTAGGAAAAGAAACAACGACCCATGGAAGTCAAAGTCATGGCAACGACCATTTGTCAGACTGCGAGCATTTACACACCAGAAAGTGGCCAACTCAACTTTTTGAGCACGATTTGCTTGAATTTGTTGATTTGCTACTAGTCAGTTTCTGATCATGCATCCCCTGCTCGACCGTTCGACCATGTTTGCCGTAGTCCAAGATTGGGTGCGGGAAGCCTGTACCTGAGGCTGTACTGGAAGCCTCCTTTGTCTCGGTGAGGAGGAGGTGCCGTACCGGGCGCGCGAACCCGAATCGCAGTGAGCACTTCTGCGCTCCTTCCGTGCACCGCGCGGAGGTCTCAAGCTGGAGATATGTGGGCGAAGGCAAAGGGCACTACATGATTGTGAGGGGCTCAAGAGGGCACACCAGGGTGTTGATGGCACACCCATGGCACACTTGTGGTTTGTATAGGAGTTTTCGACCTAAACAAGTTGTGCTCTGGGTGCTCTGGGGAGTGGAGTCGCGACTCAGTCATGAACCATGGATGGGATAGAGATGGACAGATATGGATAGAGTTTTGAATTTTAGAGGGTGTGATGTCAGCAGCTGTAGCTCCAAAAGATGCCTGCCTGCCTGCCTGCTGAGGTGAATGACTACAAGAGCGTGGGAGAGAAGAAGGGCTCCTACAGCCCTCGTTTCGTGTGGACCCCTGGAGTGAACCACCCCTGCAAGACGTCGTGTTCAAATCAGTGTCTTTTTGTTCCAGTTACAGTCTACTATACAAACACAATATTATATATGTATAACAATTTTTGAGAAAGGCTATACCCAACCAACACATTATTTTTGTTGAATGAATGGAGTCATTGTCTTTGTGGCCTGCATCATGGTTTCGTGGAGTTAAAACCACCCAGTTGGTCATCCTTTTGGGGTTATGCCATGCACGTCCATGATTATTTGAGGGAGTGTAATGTAGAGATGTACCATCCACAGTGGAACAAACATATTGGCCAAGCTGGATTTCTCATGCTCGACGCCCCTCTTCGTTCAACGACTGTGCCACCCCAGGAGAGGACCTACACACGCTTTCGTCCACGGCTTTCTGTGGCCCGGCCCTTAGCCCAAGGGGGAGGGCCAACCAGTTCGTTCCTGGCAGCGCCTTCATCGGCACGTTGCGCCTTGGTGCTGCAAAGTGTGCATGTGGCTCATCGCATCAGGCTTTGAAGAGCTCATTGGATCTGGATCTGGCA